CCGAATTTCCCACATGGCGCATCGTTCCAAAGCCGATTTTCTACCAACACTTGAGGAGCATCGGATTCAGAACATATCCCTCTCCTATGCCGGCCTGAAAATCACACGATCGATCGGGTTCATTTATCGATCGGTCGGATAGTTCAGCTGCACCAAGGGACTTGGTGCTTGCACAGCTAACCCGAGCGAGGAACCACACCTTGTCTACAACCGCGAGTCTTTAACAAGCCCAGTGAACTTCGACTGTGCGGCAGGCGTGTCTTCCCCACACGGATGGACCGCATGTGAAAACTAGGTCATCACAAAATGTACAAGGCAATGTAAAACGATGGAGCAATCGCACTATCGTACTATCCACTTAACAACATGATATCGTAAATTGATACTCGGACATCTTAAATTAAAAAGGGTCTAGTCTCCCCTCTTTCTGAGATATGATTGAATCTGCGGCTGTGATGCCATCTTGTATACCCACAGTGTCACTGAGACCAGCAAGACGTCACATCGTACCAATGTGGGTTCTCCATTTGACGGTTCTGCCCTGTCGGGTCTGTTGTGATTACCACGCAGAGTCAGGTACCACATCTAAGTCGGTTATGACTATGAATGCACCTAGTGCGTGAATCCATGGCACGTAATCATCACACCGCTCGGAATGCTATGCAATTAGTCATCTTCACTGATCGATATTGTTCCAATATTGGTGAGCGCCTCGGTTTCAATACACGAGCAGGCTCATCCACATTATTTGGCTTATTGTTGGTTGCACAGTGGTCTGTGTGTGTGTATGATATTTTGCGCGTGCCACCTAACAATCACTGACCTTTAATTAGAATGTAAATCCACAAATGCTCAGTGTGACGCAGATTTCTGATGTCGGTTGAACCACATCCAACGCAAGCCAACACAAAGCGCGGCGATTTATTGTCTCCCACGTATCGGAATTTCATGAGTCACGCCTGCCCTGCAACTGGCTGTATGGCAAATGACTATGCACCTACAATCTGAGATGTGTGTTGCGCACACCATATGGGTGAATGGTTACGTGCATTCATGTTTTGTTAAGGTGGGTGACCCTCTCTAATAGAATATGCGTTCAGTAAGTTGATCATTCGGGATTCGATTCTTCTTCTGTAACGGCATGGTGTTAATGGCTCCACGTTTCTGGTCGTTTGGAATATATACTATATATACTACACAGTCAGCCTCGGAGTGCACACGACATAAATCAACTTTAGGGGCTAGTGCTAACATGAGTGAAGTGAGATGCCCGCAACAAGCTTGCGAAAATGGGTTGTGCCATATCGCGTGTAGACAAAATTACGTAGACTGGTCAGCTGCCCAATGGTCAAGTTGGTACTTGCGTTCTGCCACTTCGCGGTCCCGGGCGGATAGATTACAGTTCGAAGAAATCTTGTTTAAGCAGTCCCACGGAGCACATAATGAGAACACAATTTATGTCCTCATTAAATACGAAAGTTCACGGTTGTAAGCGAATTTAGCCTATTTCTAACCTGATGGGTTATGGAATTGTTCTAGTTTGTTGTGCTTAGAACTGCCGTAGCACAGATAGGTTCACGCACGTGACAGTCCGTATAAGATCTTTCGTAACAGAAATGTAAGAACACTTTAAGTAGTTATTCTGCACGAACTTTAGAACACTGTCTAACTCGATTATTTGGCATATGATAAAATCACCCATAAAAAGTGTATAAAGGATATGATAGGAGTTTCATCACTGTCCTTTCTCAGTACGGTAACCGAAACGTCGGCGAATATAATTCTCTACCAACATCGCTGTGTTATTAACAATATATCATTCACAATAAAAACAACACCTGGCGCATCGATTTTTCGATACACTCCAAACATCCTTTGGTCCTGATGTGTTAAAAAAGATACGTCCTAATTGAACGGTTTCATTGGGGATAGGGTTGTCAAAGTAAAATCAACCAACAAGACATGTTTGGTGTGAGTTCCTACAATATAATCACCTTTTCTTTCCGCCTTGGGGACTTTCACCAACTTCTGATCAATCCGGTTCCCGTTGCATCCGGTTCATAAGAAAATAAGTACATGGAGAACTCTGTTTTCAAGTGCAAATTTTCTCATTTCTTATCCTTACATACGCACGGCAAAACATCTTCGTCCGGTGAACTTGAATGCACACAACGGCCGAGCCAGGTGCTGATAAACGTTCTGTTTTTTCACTCTAATCGTATACCCCCACTTTTCTC